TGGGGAGGATGGAGAGAAGCTTCAGCGTGATTTGGACATGTAAGTTTGGAAGTTGTAGATGTAGTTGAAAAACCAATTGCTGAAGAAACTCAGCAGGTCCAGCAGCATCTGTGAAGAGAAAACAACGTTTCAGGTCCAGTGACCCTTCTTCGGAGCTGTAAATATAGTTATAGATTCAGAGTTAAATAGCATGGAAACAGACCCTTTGGTCCAACTTGTCCATGCCAACCAGGTTTCCCAAACTAAACTAATCCCATCTGCCTGCGTTTGGTCCATATCCCTCTAAATCTTTCCTATTCATGCACCTGTTCAAATGTAGAAACATAGAAAATGGGAGCAGGAGTAGGCCATTCAGCCCTTTGAGCCTGCACCACCATTCAATATGATCATGCTGATCAGCAATTTCAGTATCCCACACCCATTTTCTCTCCATCCGGCTAGATCCCTTTAACTGCAAGGGCCACGTCCAGCTCCCTCTTGAATATATCTAACAAACTGTCCCCAACAGGGAGAGAATTCCACAGGTTCACAACTCTCTGAGTGAAGAAGTTCTTCCTCGTCTCATTCCTGAATGGCTTGCCCCTTATTTTTAGACTGTGACCCCCATTTCTGAACTCCCCTAACATCGGGAACATTCTTCCTTCATCTAGCCTGTCCAGTCCCATCAGGATTTTATATGTTTCTATGCGATTCCCCCCATCATTCTTCTAAATTCCAGTGAGTACAAGCTTTTTAAATGTTGCAACTGTACCTGCATCTATCACTTCATCTGGCAGTTCATTCCATATACGAATCAGTCTCTGTGAAAAAGTTACCCGAGGAAATTTCTCCTCATCTCAACCCAACTACTGTGTTCCTTATCCTGAGATTATATCTCCTGGTTCCAGAATTCCCACAGCCGGGGGAAATGTCTCTCCTGCATCTACCCTGTCTATGCCTTTAAGAATTATGTAGGTTTCAATGAGATCACCATTCATTCTTCCAAACCTTTCAGAATACAGACCCTATCTCCACTGTCTTCCCTCACAGGACAGTCTTGCCCCCCTCCCCCAGGCATTAGTCTGGTGAACCTCCGCTATACTCCATCTATGGAAAGTATATCCTTCCTTAGGTCAGGGGACCAAAACTGCACGCAATGCAGTCACACTGAGGCTCTCTACAATTGACACAATAGCTTTACTCCTACATTCAAATCCTCTAGCAACAAAGAACAACAAAACATATGCCTTTCTAATTGATTATGGTACCCCCAGGTTAGATTTCAGTGATTTATGAACAAGAATACCCGGGTTCCTTCAAACATCCACATTTCCCAATGTCTCACCATTAAAGAAATAAGCTGCATCTCTACCCCTCCTACCAAAGTGGATAACTTTATATTGTGCTCCATCTGTCATGTTCTCACCCATTCACTCTCCTGTCCACATTCACTTGAAGCCTCCTTCCATCACCCCTGCCTTATTTTGTTTCCACACACTTGGAAATACTGCATCACTGTATTTAGTCCCCATCCAAATCATTGGTATAGATTGTGAACAGCTGAGGCCCAAGCATTGATCCTTGGGATACCCCACTGGTCACAGTCTGCCAACTGAGAATAACCCGTTTTATTCATGCTGTTCTGTACCCTTTAATTAATCACCAAACAAACGTGCTCTGATTTTGTTTAATTGTGATTATTATTTAGTCACTAAAGAAATCAAGTGATATGTGGATTGGGTAGGAAAATGGGAGTTGAGGTCAAAAAACAACAGTGGTCTCATTGGTGGATAGGCTGTAGCTGAGAGGCCAGCTCTGGCTCTTTATGTGATTGTTTTGATTGGCATAATTCCCACAATGCAAATTGTATACAAAATAAGTGAAAAAGCTTTTAACAATGACGTCAAATAATTACTTAAAGACAAACGTCTTGAATCTACAGAAAATAAAATTGGAACGCTGGAGTAAGTACAGACAGTAATTTAACCGTACTAAATGAAATGTTCCTTGATTGAAGGACAATTTTTTTGCTGCAGCAGCAGGTAGCAAATACAGAATTGTAATCTCAGAAAAGATCAGGTAACCTGTTTTATCTATGCCTGGACTAATGTAGAAATAATCTACTTTGGCAGAAATTAATAGGTTCTCTTGTAACATCATTCTAGCCTAGAACAGTTGCATTTTGGGTGTTTGGGTTGCAATTACAAACAGAAACACCAAACTGAAGTTGTTACCAAGATATTTAGGAGAGGCTATGTTGCATCAATACGCTTTAAAGTTTATGGGACATAAAGTTATTGAGAAGTTTCCAAAATTAATATCAAAATCAGGCTCTGGCTACATTTCATGTTAATTTAAAACTGCAGCATTTTATTTGGGAAAAAAAATTTAAATGAGTGGATGAGTGGATGAGGAAGATTTTGGAATTATAAAGAGTAAAACAGCGGATTTGTAGATTACCCTTCATTTTAAACAAATATTCGATAAGGTAGAAAATTTTTTGTTGCCAAGTTATTGTTTTACAATAAGAACTAAGTGCAATAAGTTACTCTAGCAGAAAATGGAAGCAATATCAAAGTTGGATCATAGAAAGTATAGTAAATTATGTGTAAATATTTAAGATAACAACAGGCTAGGAGATGGAGGTAGTAAATACAAAATTATGTAAATGTGTTTTGGGAAAAATAAAATGCTGGAAATATATCCAAATGGTGTAGTTGTCAATGAATTTGGAAGTCTATTGAATACAAAATGTGGGAGGTGCTGTACAAAATATTGGTCATACCGTCATTGGAGAATGGAGTACACATTTGGACCATGGAATAGCAGGGATAAGGACAAGAGTTATGGTGAGAAACTTCAAAACTAAAGAATATATTTATCACAACAGAACAAGTTCAACTGGATGTACAAAGTCAATGTATTGCACCATACAAATATTTGTCAAAAATAGAAAATACTTGATTCAATAATGATTTATCAGCTTAGTTTCAATTCAAAAGTTGAAGTTATAAAACAGGAATTTATTTTACCAACACCTCTCCAGCACACCAAAGCTTTCGCTAAGCAGGCAGTTCAAAGACAATGTGATTAATTTGCTCTGAACTTAGGAGATCAATCCAACAAAAACAGTGCAAATAGGAATCTACAAATAAACACAGTATTACACCAAAATAAGTTGTATTATCAGCTTTTACAAAAAGGATTTTAGTGCCGTTAAATTCTTGTTACAGTCGTACCTGATGCATGATACTGTCACTAATCATTGGCTATAGCAATATTGACCTTTGCCATATCTCATAAGGATTTACAATGTGAATGTAAGAGAATTTTCAGCAGCTACCACAGACATTCTGAAAATTCCACAATCTATTGAATGATTTTTAACTTTATAATCATTTATAAAATGGATGAAGTCAGTTCTCACTGCTGGACAGTGTTTTAAATCAAGCAAATGCAGTGGGATTGGAAAGGTGGTTTTCATGAGACACATAGAACTAAACTACACTGTAAAGCAAAGCAAGAAGCAGAGTTTCAGATTATTTCTGACATAATATAAGCAGAATTTAAAAATTGGGTTTGGCAAATGAAGATCATGACTGAAATTGCCTGAATCCATCTCTTTCTACGCTCCCTTTTAATGTAGAATAATCTGAGATGATTCAGACGAGGAAAAGGAGGCAGGGAAATGAGTATCTAAGGAGAAAACAAAATAGGTAACTGAATGAAAAGTTAGAAAATTAGTTGCTGAGAAGGCTTTTTTAAAACAGATCCAGACAGGATAGGGATAAGAGATGTCGTTCCAGAGTTCAGGGCCAAGGCAAAATATAAATACCAAGATACAGAAGGAATTCGTAAAGCAAAGTATGATAATGCCTAACCTTTGCTAACATAAATTAAGCAAACAAGTTACAGACTCTATCAACACAGCCAATTTTTTGGGCACCAATTAGATCAGGACGTAGATTCAGATAAAATGGCCAGATCTGCAGTAAAAGTTACACATAGCAAAAGAAACAAAAACGTAAGAGAGCAACCACAAGGTAAGATTCACTTGTTATTCAGTATACATTAATTATTTAACTTATGGAGACTGGCAGTAATCCAATACTGTGAACACAAAAATACATTAGCTGTTTTTTCTTGGGGAAATATAAGGTTTATTCCAAAAGGTAATGATTTATGGTCTTATAGTTCTTAGGACTAAAAGGATCAAAGAGTTTGTGGAGAAAGCAGGAGCAACATACAGAGTTATGATCAGCCATGATTCTATTGAGTGAAACAGCAAGCTTGAAAAGCTGAATGGCCTACTCTTGCTCCCGTATTCTATGTTTCTATGATTTCATGAGGGTATTCCAACCTTTTCCTGACTTCCGTACAGGTCTTTCTTACCCTGAGGAATACTGGATACAATTTGGGAAGGTAGACCTTAGCTGACTCTGGTCTGGCCACTCCTCAAACCTAAATTCTCACCTTTCTTTGAAATTCCTTCCTAGCTTTGCTCCTTCCTATCCGTGTAATTTCCACCAATCCCACAACCCTCTGATTTAGTGAATATCCTCCACTTTCATTGCATCGCCACTTATATATGTGTCTGCATCCTATACAACAGGAACAACAGACGTTGGCAGAATCTGTGCTTCTTCAGAATTTGCTGTTAAAATTTGGAATTCTGTCAAAGCAATATTTTCACAACCTAACAAAGGCCAATCTTTCAGTAAACCTGCAAAATAAACAGCTGGTTGTAAATACAGCGGCTTTCTTTAAAGCTTTGCTCTGAGGAAGTTTCTATCCATTTCTAATGTATAGCCATATCAATAAATAATTCAGTAAGAACAGAGGTGGGATCCTAACTGTTCAATAAAATCTGGCTGTGCAGGCGGTCATTGTAACAAGGAAAAGCTCTACATCATGGGTACCGAACATTGGCTGCCAGTTGGTAAACGTGGCAAACAAAAGTAATTAGAAATCTTTCAGCATCAACCAGCATTTCACTTCCTTTTTTCGCCTTCTATGTACAGATGAGAAGTCACAGGTACTACACCTCTAATACATCAAAGAAAGCTGTCATTGCAGCCAAACACCCCTTTGAGGCAGAGCTTCAAGCAGCGAAACTCTATGCTTGGTGTGCTTGTGGGCATAGCAAAAAGCAGGTATTTATTCACCATTCTTATTTAAAACTGTTTAGTTACCTGTGGCATTGGTTATGGGCACAGGGTGCTTTTTGAGTTCAGAGTAGATCGGACATAACTCTACACATGTGCATATTAGACATAACATGATATAAGCTGCCTGGGCAGTTTTTCAAGTTTGTGCAGCTTTACTAATTGCCTGTGCAATTCAGGAATTCCTAGGTTTTCCATCCACAATTTTCCATCCATTAAAATGAGTGTGGTCCGAGCGTTAGCACCAGGCTCTTAGAATTGACCCTTAACTAAAAAGGTTGAAAATTTGAATTACTCTGCTACTAACCTCTTTCACTTTAACAAGCGTGAAAATTAACTTCAACCCTCAAAATTAGCCTGGTGTGAACTCTCAAACTTCCTTGCAGTCAGCCCTCAGTGCTTGCTTCAAAGAATTTCTACTGAAATGACAAGCCACCTTTTCTAACAAAATAACAGTTTACTTTTTGACACTCCAGGAAACAGAATATTTTTGATCAGAGCCCATGACATTACTGCTTTAATTTAACTCGTACCACAACAGTACTTTTTTTGTACGTTTGTTTTCCGGATGTGGGCAAATCTATGGCTTTGGTCCTCCTAGCAACTGTTTACTGGCCCTCTTCAGAAAACCATTTGGAGACAGCCACATTGCTTTGGGACATTTTACAGTTTAAATGTCCCATGTAAATGCAAGTTATCATTGCTGGAGAGGGAGTTATATGTGGAGCCCAACTAAATAGAGGTGAGAGATTCCATTCCTTGAAAGAGAGGAAAGTGAACAAGTTGAGTTTAATTTTATAATGTTGTTTTATTCTCGCTGTCTCTCACTCACTCTGTGTAGGTGTCTGTCTGTTTGTCTCTCACACTCACTCTCTACAGCTGAATTCTCAATACGCATGGTATCTCCTCAATCTCCGAATGATCTTTATATGCGACAAATGATTTAAACTCACTACTATGTTTGTAAAACATTTTGGAGAGTTATTTTGTTTCTCAAGGAAGAAATCTCATTCACGTTGTTCTACTACTATTTTAACCTGAAGGTATTTCGAGAGATTTATGTCCTCCTGCATGGTAGGAATATGACAGAGCAGTTTACCTATTCTTTAGAGAATACATCTGGAGAAATTAAGAGAATGGGCATTCAATGGTTTTTTGCAAAAAAAACACTGAATTGCTTCAGCAGATGGTCACGTTGTTTCCTCTCAATGAACAAATTGTTAAATGAGATTGAATAGAACATGTCTATATTCTCAGAACTTTGGAAGACTGAGTGTTAATATCCTTGAGACGTATAACATTATTACAGTACTTGACAAATAAATGCTGAGAGATGGTTTCCCCTGGTTGAACAGTCATAAACGGTATGTATTATAGTCTCAGGGTACAGAGATGAAAGGGAAATTCCTGAACTCAGATGTTTGTGAATACTTGGAACTGTGGATGCTTAGTTGGTGAATACTTTCAGGGCAAACATTGGATTTTTTGACAACATGGAAATATGGATGTATGATAGGCAAGCAGATTGATGGAGAAATTCAACTTTGATTGAGGAAGTAGTCTCGAGATGCCATATAACCAACTCCAATTCGTGTTTATATTGTCTTGTGTGGTGAAGATGCGACTCCACCCATTGTGTTCCAGTTGGGAATGGGTAACCATCTGTTTGATTTTCTTCCCAAATGTTCATTCATTAAGAGTAAACCCTGACTGATGGTATCAGCAGCTATTAGTTGGCAAGGGAGCACCACATCTCCAGTGAACCCACCGCCATGTTTCAGGTATCTGGCTCAGAGGACAAGGATTGAGCTGCGTTTCTTCCCCTTCTAGTGTCTCAGTGGTTAGCACTGCTGCCTCACAGCGCCGGGGACCAGGGTTCGATTCTACCCTGTGTGTGGAGTTTGCACATTCTCCTGGTGTCTGCATGGGTTTCCTCCGGGTGCTCTGGTTTCCTCCCACAGTCCAGGGATGCGCAGGCTAGGTGGATTTGCCATTGGAAATGCAGGGTTACAGGATAAGTAAGGGGGGGTGAATCTGGGTGGAATGCACTTCAGAGGGCTGATGTAGACTAGATGGGCCGAATGGCCTGCTCTCCACTGTGTAGGGATTCTATGACTCTGATTTTATATTGCGCAGTTACATAATTGGGCCAATTGTAAATTGGTGAGTAAAATTCTCACTGAGTTAGAAGGTTGTGGATTCAAAGCCCTGGTCACTGAATCTAGGCTGACAACATCGGACCTTTTATTCTGCATCTGATCATTGGAGAACCGGGAACTTTTTTTCTGTTCGCCAGTTCTATCAACCCTCAGCTTATTCAAGAGCACAAAGACTAACTAACACAATCTAAAACAACTCCTCTGGTATTCTGAAGCATCACCTGTGATTTTTGTGCTTCTGCACACTTCTGTGACAGTGAGACTAGGAGTTCAAACTTGAACATGTGCCAGATGCTGAATGTCAGCAGCAGAGATTGATCAGTATCTTAATTTTGCTCCTTGACTCTGGGTCACTGATTGATTGAATGAGATTGGCAAATGTCGCTCTATAAATAATTTCTTGGTAGTACGGAACTTAAACATCACTAAAAGGAGATGCAGAGAAAAGCATTTTGCCTTTTGCTCATAGAACATAGAACTGTGCAGCAAGGAACAGGCCCTTCAGCCCACTATGTTGTGCTGAAGACACCACCAAATTAAACTAATCCCTTCTGCCTGCCCTTGTCCATATCCCTCCATTCGTTGCATATTCATGTGCTCATCTAAAAGTCCCTTAAACATCGTTATTGTATATGCCTCCACCACCACCCCCGGCAGTGTTTTCCAGACTCCTATCACTCTTTTCGTGTTTAAAAAAAAACTTGCCCCTCACATCTCCTTTGAACATCCCCCCCCCCCCTCACTTTACATGCATGCTCCCTTGTTTTAGACATTTCAACTCTGGGAAAAAGATTCTAACCGTCAGCCCTGTCTATGCATCTCATAGACTTTATAGACTTCTATCAAGTCTCCCATCAGCCTCCACTGCTCCAGAGAAAACAACCCAAGTTTTTCTAGCCTCTCCTTACAGCTCATACCCTCTAATCCAGGCAACATCCTAGTAAACCTCTTGCGCACCCTCTCCAAAGCCTCCACATCCTTCCTATAATGTGGCAACCAGAATTGAATGCATTTGGGACTAGGATGCCAAAAACCACACTTTAAAAAAAGAACACCAATCTATATAGCATGTGCATACGTTGCACCATTTTTCATCTGGAAAAGAGGCTAAGGTATCTGCAGATCTCTGCTGTATTCCCATGGCAGCGTCTACCTGTCTACTCTGAGTACAGAAATTGACAGTTAACTGTTCCTGCTGCATCTCCACGTCTTTATCCAGGGAATAATTAGAATGTAGGACTCACTATCATGAACAGTTAAGGTAAAAGATGCATTTAAGGCACATCTTATCAACAGAAGAGAGGAAGGATTGGAAGGTTATGCTGACTGGATGAGATGAAGAGGAGGAGCACATGTGGAATATAAACAGCAGCATGGATCTGATAGGTCAAATTGCCTGAGCATCCACCTTCAAATCAGCGTAGAAAATTTTATGGTATGACAGACTGAATAGAAATAAGATCTCCTATGTTTTTTTTCAAGAAATAACAAGGATTGGAAATTGTATTTGTATGAATAGAATAGTGCTACCCATAGCAATTAGAAAATTGTATCTTGAAGTTTCTGAATCGTGCTGGCTTTATGGTATGTGCTTTTAGCAAGTGCCTCTGGAAACAGTGGAAATGGTGATTAATCCTCCTGCATCTCTCCATGACCAAGGACACTGGGAACCGATGAAGTCAGTTCATCCAGCCCAGATGGGAAAGCAACCTGTGCCTTTTCTAATGGGTGTAATCTGCGATTGAGGACGTCACAAAAATAACATCACATACAAGGAGTTAAAACTCTTGTTGATCTCTAGGTACTGTGGTGCTGGAATTTTGGTGTTCCCACTTTTCTCTTGAATTTCCTAATAGGAGGTAGGTTCGGCATGCATGTAGTGCTGATTCAAGTAGACAAAAAGTCTCTTTATTTTCTTTTGTGTCTAAAAGAAAATGCATTTTAAAGCTCCTTTCATAATTTCCCAAAGCAAATCACAGCCGATTAAATCGTGTTGTAATGTAAGAAATGGGTAGCATTAAAAATGCATTTTAAAGCTCCTTTCATAATTTGCCAAAGCAAATCACAGCCAATTAAATCGTGTTGTAATGTAAGAAATATGGAAGCCAATTTTCACACAGCAAGCTCCCATAGTGACAATGTAATTATAACCAGAACTGTGTTAGTTAGGTTGATTGATGGGTAAGTGTTAGACAGGACAGCAGGGAGAACACTTTTGCTTTTAAAAATCATGCCACATGATCCTTTACATTCAACTGAGAGGAGAGATGGGACCTTGGTTTATTGACTTGGCTGAAATATGTTGATGCCAACAAGCAGCAATCTCTCGCTGCTTGGCTGGGACAATCAGCGTTTGATTAGATGCTTAAGCTCCTGCAGTGGGATTGAAGCTAAACACGCTTTGAGTTGGAGGGAAGAACTCTACTGACTTGAGCCACAGGTTACACTCGAGTTGGGAAACCATAAAGGGATGTGTGAGAGCAGTAGGAGGACTGGAATTTGTCTCATTGTTCCTGCACCAGAGAAATATGGTTTGAAAAAGAATCATCTGAGAATCTCTGTCTTCATTGCTAATCAATGACCAGTGCTGAAAATGTACTATTGTGGATGATGGGCGAGATCAGAATTGGATTGGTCAGATAGCCTGGTCATCCTGCTAGCTGCATCATTTGTGATGAATGGTCACTTGGTCAAGGTGACAAGATTGCTCTGGACACCCATGGACCTCTCCATCATGAGCCAATGTGGACAGGGAATGAAAACTAAAACTCATCCGTGTATTGTGTGGTTTAAAAAAAATTCTGTTCCCTGGAAGTGCAGAGATCATTT